TCCTGAAAACAAAGATATTTCCTGACTTTATCAACAGCTATATTCCTCTTACTCCTATTTTATAACTCATTTTTTCTATCAAAAGGAGGCATCTGCCTTTCTGTTGTTCAAAGATTGTTTTAGCTCACCTTAGACTCATTTTCTTTGATATGCTGTTCCATAGCCTTTCCCCCAAACTTCCCTTGCTTCCTTTTAGCATGGAAGCTGTCTTGCTATGATTTCACTTACGTCTATCTGATTGTATTCCCTGTGGCTTGGAATGCCTCATGTTCATTATATGAGCTCCTCTTCTGTTACTTAGGTTTTTTCATGCTCCATTGCTGCTGAATCTTTCTTATTCATATTGGTGTTTATATTTTTCTATATTTGTGTGATACTGGTGTGAATATTCACAACTTGATAAAAGCTGTTATCTTAACAATTGCCCAGAAGTGGCACTAACTAATTCATTCATGATATAGAATTGAGTTAACATGATAGCTTAACACTTTTCAACTTCACCAATTTGTTATAACAACACTTTTGAAGTCAGCTGCCTGTTTCATGCTGAACAGTCTGTAGTTTACCAACTTCCTCCTCTCTGTGATGCAGCCTGCTTTTAATTTCAGATGTTTGGCATGCATTGCTGTGCATCTAGAACACTCTGTATGCATACTTGGTAATAATAATGGACTCTTTAGGGGAGAGGTTCCCAAACTTTTTTTCGCTGTGCTACCCTTTGGAGATTCATATCACATGCATGTCCACTCAGCACAGGGGAAAGAGGGTACCCAGGTGGTGCTAAGTTTAGAGCTGCAAGGGGGAAGAAGGGACCAGCTTGTGCAGGGAGGAAGCTTGCATGCCCTGTTTGAATCCAGCTGCCCACAGTGGGAACTTGTATGTATGCATAGGGGTTGCACCTGCACCCGCTTTCCAAGTGTGTGCGTACACTGGGTGCAAGGCCATTGCCATGGGTCCAGGAAACATTAGCATTACCAGCGCCATGTTGATTCCCAGTGCATCCATGGGGCTGGCACCTGAGGGGGGGGGGAAGGTGAGAGAGGTGGGGGTGGAAATAAGTTCTCGTGAGGCTGTGTGGTTCCTGTGGGAGCTGGCTGGCAGTAGGATGGTGACACAGAGCTGAGATTACTGGCCAATGGCTAATTCTTAACCACTCAGGTCTTCATGCCCTGTGATAACCTCGGTCTGCCTCACCGGAGGGGATGAGCCCCACAGTTTGAAAACCAGTACTCAAGTCTGAGTTAAGAAATTGTTTACTTTAGTGCTGCACATGTTTTTTAAATGCACCAATTTGTTATTTAATAACACACAATTCTGGAGAGCATGTGTAGATACAAATGTCAAACTTAAGTGGTTGATTGTAGTTTTTGTAGTGGTTCTCAGCCTTCCATACCAAGATGCTCATTTGTACAGTCAGATCGCCCCAGAGCCTCCTTATAAATCTAGTTCTCATTACCAATACGTAGCCACATCCTGTAGGTTTTGCAGTGTCCCACACCTCTTTACATTCCAGAGTACTGCCAGGAAGTCCTGAATCAGGGGCCCAAACATGCTGGGTGATAAGGAAGTCACCATTACTTCAGCACCCAGAAGCTCCATAGGCACCTAGAATGGAATGGACATGAGCAACACATCTCAAAGAAGAACAACAATTATGAAAGGTGGTACTGCAACAGTATTGGGCCGAGGCCTGTCTTCATTTGTGTCTTGTTCAGGACAGAATTTATTGGAGCCTAGCAAAAAATAATGAACTGTAAAACAATGGCTCTAGTTTGGGCAGGTTCATAGTTACATAAACAAGGTATAATCAAGATAGAATTGTTTATTGTTTCCCAAGTTAGCTATTCTTACAGGTCTTCAACAAGAAAAAGGAGAATAAAAATATAAATATTTTTATTGTAATCTCTGGTCTTGGCAGATGATTTTTATACTTTATTTTTTAACTTGAAAGTACTGTATTGTATGCAGTACTCTGCTTTTTCCCTGGTTGGAAGAGTGTTTTCCAGGATTCCATCCTTTTAAAAGAAAATTGGACTTAATTACATGTCTACTCAGATGTATGTCTTGTAAATCATTTTCAGATAAGAGTACATTTCTAGAAAATATGTCCTAATGCAATTAAAGTTGAAGGTTTAAGGGTAAGGTTCATTTAATTGAAGAATATAAAGAATGTCTAAAGAAGATGTTTATTCATGCCACTTTTAGATTCCATGAAGTATTATTCTCATTAGCATTCATGTTTCTTTTCTAATACTGTTCCTGTGCTAGCTAGGTTTCTAAAGAACAATTTTTGTAGGCTTTTGTTAGTCAGAACAGAGCACATTAAACAATATTTGTAGGGATATAGGGCATATTTTCAGCAGGCAGTTCCTGGAAAAATATAAAACAAGTATTTAATATACTTTCTTGCTCACATTTGTGCTGGGTTTCATGGATAGGACAATATATTATGGCTTTTAATGAAAATAATTTTATTGAAAATTTAGTGCAGGCATTACTGCTTAATTACATTTTGAAGCAAAAATTCTGAGTATAGAAAAGTCCATAAGGATATTTAAATAAAAAGTTATATGAAGCTAAATGTATTCTATCTAACTGTTTTCCTCCTCCATTTACATTCTAAGAAGAAATGCTAAAATGTGAAAGCTGTGAAGGAACATTAAAATGCTATTTAATGTGTCATGGGAAATTTTTGTTTATTATTTTCCCAAATGAAAAGACTGTAATAAAAAGCTTTTTCCACTGCAGTTCTTTAGTAGGTAGTGATGGGGGTTATTTCTAGCAATAGATTACACCAGATGTAAGTTGCCTAGGGATATATACTCTGGTTACAGGAGACAAGTCTTATTGCCTTACCTTGAGGCATTAGGTTGAGTCAGTTAGGTCATGTGAGTAGTGATTTTTATCCTTCAGGGTTGCAGAGTTTCAAATGATGGTATGTGACATTTTTGCAGAAGTACAAGAAACAGACTGTTTTTAACTTGGATATGGGGATATAAATGACTTCTGTTCAAGTTTTGCAAGTGGAAAACTTTCTTACAGCTGAAAGACCAAACCTTTCTGATTTCACAAGCATGCTGCTGGGTATAGCCCCCATTTTAAGAAACATATTTAATTAGCATTTGAACAACATTTCATATTCATATGATTTTGTTAAATAAGACACAAGAGTATGGTATTTTCATATAGATTAATCTAAAAGTAAAGCAACTATTTCCCTCTCAGGTTGAAATGAATCCATCATGATTGACATCTGTAGCTTTCCTGTGATGCCTGCTGCAAGATAAATAATTGACTTTTATATGACTACTGAGAGCATCCACTGTTACATTAGGCAGATGAAAAATAAGCATTATAAACTCTTAGTTATTGCATAATTGCCATTAGGAGATCTTTAGCCCTTTCTGAGACAATTGGTGCTGGGCACTGTTTTGAGGCAAGATATCTGACTACATGGCCAGTGATCTGATTCGGTATGGCAATTCCTTATGTCATCTAAAACCAAATGGGCTTGTTCCTAAAGGTGACCTGCAAATTAAATAAAACAAAAGTATCAGATTTTCCATTATGAGGTGAATTCTGACAATTAGCCAGGAGGAAAATGGGGGTAATAAGTGCATTTGACTGTCAGCCTAAATTTTCTTTGTTAGCAGGTTCAGAAGTCCAGACCTGCCAGGAATTTTCAGCTTTGTAAATGGAGTGTGCCGGTTTACACTCTTGTGGTAACATCACTTCCTCTAAAGTACCCTACTGGAGCTAGCCTCCAGAGATCAAATAAGCCTGTATTTCTCCAACAGTGTGTGATTTTGTAAATGCTACATTCTTAGTAAGGAGCACATTTCAAAAAAGTGTGTCATGATACTAGAGTTTTATCCCCAAGGTATAAAGCAATAGCAAACACTGTACAACTCTGTACATTGTTGAAGAAAATACTGATTCACTACAGAATGGCTCCAGCTTGCCATAAATTTCCATAGAGGGTGTGATGTAGCCAGTATTGTGGGACATAATTCTGAGAGCGGACAACCCATAGGATGTCTGGGCCAATGGAGCCTGATAAAAAGTTGAATTTCCTTCTCTCTCTGGCTGTTTGGGTATTTGGATTATTATTTTAATATTAGCAGATCATCTAATTAAGTTTACTAATTATAAACCAGGGCTTCAATCCAACTTTGTTGTTTCCAGTACAGTTGGGTATAGCAGGTGCATAGTACTTTCTGTATTTTCAAGTTTCAGGAATGGCTTAAAATTCAATGCTGTATCTAGAATTAATTAAAATATTATTTAAAAAAATGAAAGGAACTAGCTATTTGATCTTCAGTATTTCAGGTTCCCACTAGATGGCAAGATAGTGCCTGAACTAAGGAATTATATAAATTAATATTCACATAAATATTTAATCTGGCAAAGGTAAACAGTTCAAGCTTGAAAATGTTCAATCCAGTTTTAATAATAGTTTTAAACACTGATGTAATTTTTCATTTCAGACTGCATTAAATAGCTGTTAAATTGTGAGCTAATGTTCTTGTTCACAAGGACTGTACCTTTTGTTTTAAATGACTTGTCACAAATCAGGTTTTAGATTTGTTCCCCAACTGCCTCAACCACATATCCCTCTGCCACAGTTGTGGTAAATAAAGCTTAGCTAAAGTTTGTTAGGACTTTCAGGATTATCCAGTGTGAACGTCACTGCCCTGTCGCTCAGACGAAGGCACAGACTCAGAAGTCTGCCATGTGTGTTGTATTCTCATTGTAAATGGAAAAGACAGCTCAAATATCTGATTTGTCAGGATTTTCTTTAACCCAGGTTCAAACATGGACCTATCCCATTAACTATGGAACTGTTTGCTGCAGTGTTCGTTTTTCTGTGAACAAATAAATTATTCACCTTATTTGATGATGAATGCTATTCCAGGACTTGTAGATACTTGGTAGTTACTTTACAATTCAAAGGGATCGGCTTTCAGAAATTAATTCTCACTTTTTAAAAATCATTTTAGGAAAGCCCAAGAAGACAACAAGAAAGTGGTTTTAGCTGGATGTGTTCCACAAGCCCAGCCTCGTCAAGACTACCTCAAAGGTCTGAGCATTATAGGGGTAAGAACATTTGTCAAATAGAAAAGACCTGTTAAGATTTTCATATTCATTTTCTTGCCCATAAGAGTCGTGTAGTGTTGCTGTCTGAAGTTTTATATTAACTTGTTGGTTAGATGGGCCACGGCTATGGGCAATATCTTGTGTTTAAAAAAAAGAGGCTTTTCACACAATTTTTCATTGCCAACAACTAGACTTTCTTCCTTTCTTCTATTGGGAAAGCCTAGAGTTCAGTCCCTCTCTAAACCTTTTTGCTTTGTGGTTACATTTTACTATGGTTCAATGGATGCTTTGTGTCAAATACATTCTTGAACGTGATTGAGGTTTAGTCTGTTCGCAGAATTTAGTGTCAATGTCCTATGCAGCCTTCAGGGGGTGAAGGCAAGGATTAACTCCCCTACTTTAAATATAATCTTCTACGTTGTTGTTAGAAGAAATACAGCTAGTTAAAGTCGAAATGCAAAAGAGACAATAGTGTATAAATTATATAGCTAGCACCTGTTTTTCATCACGTTTGGGTTTTTATTACTACTTGTCTTTGGGCAGAGTGACTGGGGAACGTGACAATTTTACTGTCTACTCAGGGCAACAGAAAGGGTTAATGCATATGCGTCTGTGCGCTGTTAAACAGTTGGCATGCTTCACCCTGGTTGTAGACAGTGAGGTTTCTGTGTATTGTAGTTTTTAAAGTGCTTTTGTATCCTTTGGGATGAAAAATGCTGTATAACTGCATCAGCACTGAAAAATTGTCATGAAAATCGATGATCTCAGGCACAAAATACTGAGGATTTTTCATCAATTAAGTCTTTAAATAAAGACTAGATGTCTTTCTAAAATGCTTTTGTTGGGCCTATTGCAGTAATTGCAGAGTGAAGTTTTGTGACTTGCATTATGCAGGTCAGAGCAAATAGTACTACAGGTTCCTTCTGGCATTAAAAGGTATTAAATGTATTAATTAAGATATACTTATCCTCACTTAGCTCTCATGAGGATAAACCAAAACTAATCTTTTAACTTCCTTGTTTTTTTTAAAGTCATGTTGTGTGAGTAAAAAGAGTTCTTACAAAGCCAAGTAGGAAGTAGAACATAAACTAGATAGGCTTCTTAATTATAATTCCCATTAAGATAGTTTCTGTGCTTATTGCACTATTTGACACAACCGTTTTACAGCTTCCCTCATATTACTATGTATACTCAAAATATGTTAACCAACCACCCACTCATAGAAATGTAGAGTTGAAAGGGACTTCAAGAGGTCATCTAGTCCATTCCCCGCACTGAAACATATATAGGGATCAATTGAGTCTACATACAATCCTATACAGTAGGGCAAGGGGATGTAAAGTGCCCCCTTACTCTCTCTTTTATATGCAGGCTGCTTTGCGGGTCACAATTTGGTGGGGAAAACCTCTCCAGAGCCACTGTTCTCATATCTGTGCAAATGGATGGGAGTAAAACAACCTTTGACTCTGTCACCCTCAGTGCAGCAGCCAGTTTGGTACGGCTTGCTTCCTCCATGCAGCAAAGGAGCAGCAAGAACTGAGTTGTGACTGAGTCCCTACTCTGCCCCGGAGCACATAATTATATGATCTGTGCCAATCTAGCCTGTAGTAAATGTACAAAAATCTATACATAAAAAGACATAGACTAGTAAGGAAAGCATATACTGGATTAAAAAAAAAATGGCCTATATCCTCTGACCTAGATTGTGATTTGTGATACGCTGTGTCAATTTTTGAGCATCCAACCGGAGGAACTGATTTCTAAAGGGTGATAAATGCTTTTTTGAAAATCTTCACTTCATCTTAAGTTGGGCTTCCAGAATTACAAGTTAGTAATGAAAATATTTTCCATTTTGGATTTAAAACAGACAAATGTCTATTAAAAGTTAACTAAAACGATTAACATACTGCCCCCAAATCATTAGAATTGGCCTTGGAAACATTGAAATGATGTTCACAATAAAGATAATTATAAAGATAACAGCAGTGTGCATTAAAGTTATAGTACCATAAACATAGGACATCATAAGTACACAAAGCTCTTGTTCTATAGACCTAAATCTTCAAAAGAGAAACCCTGGGTTATCCCTGCTAGATTATGCTTTTGTTCCCCCTCTTCTCCCCCACCCACACACACATTGGGTGTCACAGAAAAGTGTGGTTTTTCCCTCCGGCTAGTATGCAATATTATTTAGTGTTAAGTTCCTCAAATAGAGGATTAAAAGTGCAGTAATGTCAATGCAGACTAAGGAACAATACATTTTGACATACTAATGTTTTTAAAAAGTGAGACTCAGCATCCTATTGTAGTAAAATATTCTTTTAAAAAGGCAGTTGTAATGAGACTGAGAAATTGGAAGTGTTTTGTTGGCAACTTCATGCTGATTCAGCTATGAAAATGTAAATGTTATAAGGAAGCAGTTGTGAAAACTTTGCTTTACCATCAGGTGTTTTTGTTGGTCTCATCCATGTGTTGAGTAATAGAAATTTGATTTGTCATCAGTTACATAAGCTGTACTATATTTTAAGCAATGTTGTCTGAGAATGTGGTTTCTTGCTAACAATTATAAGTCTCTTGGGATAACTTTGTAGAGAGACAGTGTGTCAGAGTAGAGTTCCCTTGGAAAATGTTGGTCTGGGTATGACGAAGGTTGAATGAGGAAGTTACAGTATTTGTGTAACTACCAGTAAGACTATGGCAATCAAGGGCTTATTTTAATCAGTGCCTTGAATATACAGAACTAGACTTTAAAGTCATTTCTTTTGGATGATATATTGTAGTAGAATTGCATTTTTAACTGACTTGTCACAATGCCCTTTGAAACAGTGTACTGAGAGTTTAAATTTTTCATACTGATGTGATAGTCTAAACCAGTGTGATACATTGGATTATATTTTTCTGAGAACATTTAAAGTCATACAGTTTACACAGTAGATTCCACTTAATAGCAATCCTGGTAATAGCAGCTTGAGGTTATTGGCAACATAGTAATCAGAAACCAATCCCATCCCATTAATATCAGTGTTAATGGGATTTGGATGATTAGCAACAGGTGTGCCGCTTAAGAACAACTTTATTTAGAGAGGAGGTCCTACCTGTATTCTGTTTCCTGCCTCTGAGCATGCATAACTGAGCGCTTCCACTGTGTGCCATGGCTTCCAAACGCGTGAACCTGTCTCTTGCTGATAAAGTTCAGGTGCTGGAGGCCCTACATGAGCCCACTGCTAAGCAAGTGAGAGTAGCCAAGAGGTTTGTTTTTTCAGTGTGTTGTTTTGTGCATTGAGAACAACAGCCATAACATTTTATAGAAGCACAGGAACAGCACAGAATGAGGCTGTGAGTGCCAACGTGAGGGAAAGGAGGTAGCTGTTGGTCAAGCCCTGTGGCTCTGGTTTCAGCATACGCTTAGCCACGGTGCTCGATTCTTCTGGCCAATGCTGAAAAAGAAGGCAAGTCACCTAGTGGTAGAGCCTAGGAAGGACACTAACGCTGAAGGTGGCAGGCTTAGTAAGTGGAAACCTGGGCACAACATGATTCAACGCAAAGAGCATGGCAAGAAAGATAGGTGCTGACCTTTTCAGCAGCCATTGAATGGTGGGCAGACATCCTCCCCAGCATTCTCGAGCAGTACCAGCCACATGACATTTTCATTGCTTATGAGACGGGTGCTTTCCTGACAGAGGCTTTGGCATGCTAAAAGAAGGGTTTACAGGAAGACGGGGGGGAGGGGGGAATTGCCATTAATTGGAAGTAGTGCAAACATGGGTGGCATGGAGAAACAGCCTCTCGCGGTGATCAGAAAGAGCAAGTGCCCTTGTTTCCCTAAGGACCACTCAGAGCTGTCTGTGATCTACAAAAACTCAGCCAGGGCATGAATGACTAGTTTGTTGTTTGAAGAGTAGTTTAAGAACTGGAATAGAGAGCTGTGTCTACAAGACCAACCCATGTACCTTTTAATTGACAATTGCCCAGATCATTCAGCTCACGTAAAGCTATCACACATGGTGTTAAAATTCTTGCCTCCATGTGCAACCTCAGTCATGCAGCCAATGGGCATGGGTGTCATTAAAAACTTCAGCAATCACTACTTCTCTTAATCCTCTTAATGCTCACATTACTGCCTCTGTGGAAGCTGACCCACCCATATGGTATGATATGAATGTTTCAGAAAAAAAAAACCAAACCCTGTGATTGATGCACTTCATCTTGCTAAGGAGTCATGGGTTGCTGTTCTCACACAGACTGTTCTAAACTGCTTCAAGAAGGAAGGGTTTTCATCAACAGAAATTGATGGTGTGGTGGGCATTCATGTTCCGGATGATGTTTCTGTTCCTGAAAATCTAACTGCAGAGGAATTTGAGGCCATTGTTTAGTTTGAGAGTCATTTGGAGATGGAAGATGAGCTTTCTGATTCCAAATTTCTGGAGACAGCAGTGGCTGTAAAGTACCAGCAGGCTTATGAGACACAAGAGGATAGTGCATCTGATGATAAACCTGAAGAACTTTCCCTCACAGAGCAGCTGTGTGCGGTGGACATTTTTCTCAGGATATTCCAGAGTCTGCCTTGAGAATGGTTATGAGCATGCACACAGAATTGAGGATTTACAAGTGGAGATGGCAAAATGAGGAAACCAGACAATATTAAACAAATTTTGTTCTTAATTTTTTTATTTTTATATTTTATTAGTAAAAATCTCATGCTGCTTCAATTTGTGTGACACTAACTGTAATTACAGTACTGTTCAGCATACAAAGACTTGTCCTGTAAGTGTTTTATAAGTTTTCTTTAGGGTTTTTAAAAACATTTTCTTTACACAGTGTTGTAAAATTGTGTTCCACTTTACAGTATTTCTTGTGACACACCGCAAGCTGAAATGTCCTAAGTTTGTGCTAAGCATTGTGGTACACTGTAATTCAGTGTTTCTCAAACTGGGATCCTCCTACCCCTCCCTCCCAGCGCCTCTGGGATACAGCTATTCAGCGGTGTGCAGGAGGCGCTGGGAGGGAGGGGGAGGAGAAGGGCTGGGGCGTGCTCGGGGGGGGGGGCAGAAAGAGGCATGGAAGAGGAGTGGCAGGGTTGGGCAGGGGCGGTGCCTTGGGGGAAGGGGTGGAGTGGAGGCAAGGCCTGGGGCTTAGCGGGAGGCTTGGGAGTCCGCGAAAATGTTTTTAAATCAAAATGGGGGGCCTTGGGTTGTTAACGTTTGAGAACCGCTGCTATAATATGTATCCATTACTGTTTGCCATGTTTGGTTTTCTTTAGTACTGAAAGTTAATAAACAGTTTCAGAACTATTGTTCTGGGCAATGTATCATTATTCCATGCTCATTTTTCTGTGTATCCCCCTGAAAACAGTGCCCTCTGCTTATTGGCAGCTTCTGGATAATAGCAGCTTTTAGCTGGAACCAAGAGGTTGCTATTAAGTGAATCTACTGTATACTGGCATCTGTAAAATAAGGATGATACTTCCTTACCTTACAAGGGTTTATAAGGCTAGAATGCATTAATGTTTGTGAGGCTTACGCTCTGTGCCATCCTAGATAGAAGCCTTTACAAACATGAATTCCCAATGTGTATTTCAGGAATGGAGTAAATTGGGTTGAATTTTATGTGGAATGATTTTAAATGGCAAATCTGGTTGAAGAGCTATAAACCCAGCATATAGGTGCAGATTTGCTTTTCAACGCTGTGAAGAAGAGTGGTTTCATGCAGAGAGCTCTCTTAACGCGTGCTGCTCAATTGATTGGCCTCTGGCTTAAATATCTGTTACTGCTTATTCAGGTAGATATGCTTGAGTCTGTAAAGCCAGGCTGCAAGGTGACTGTATTTCAAACACCGAAGTGTTCAGTCTGAAAATTTGGTGTGTAAATAGAAAGCAACACTCTCAAAAGTGTCACTTCTAATAAACATTTCTATTTGTCCTATATTTAGTAGACTACAAAAAAACAGCAATATGATAGAGCAATTTCTTGTTAACAGTGTATTTAATGGTACATCAAAATATTTCAAAATAGAAATTTCCAACCATGTTCACCTAGCAAGGAACATAAAAGGCAAAGTGTAGGTCCTTTACTTAATGGAAAAGAGAACTAATAATGGATGACATCAAGAAGGCTGAGGTGTTTAATGCCTCTTTTACTTCAGTCTTCCCCAGAAAGGTTAATGCCGGTCAGATATTCAACATAATTAATATTACCAACAAGGGAGAAGGAATCCAAGCCAAAATGGGGAAAGAACAGGTTAAAGAATATTTAGATAAGTTAGATATATTCAAGTCAGTGGGGTTTGATGAAGTTCATCCTAGGGCACTTAAGGAACTACCTGAAGCAATCTCGGAACTGCTAGCAATTATCTTTGAGAATTTATGGAGGATGGATGAGGTCCCAGAGGACTGGAAAAGGGCAAACATAATATCTATCTTTAAAAAGATAACTTTGCCCAGAAGTACCTATAGGGATGGTTCTTGTGCCTTCTGGCTTTTGCACTATCCCTGGATGTTCAAGGGCATTGGTGCCCCAAACCCTCGCAGTTCCTTCTTACTGCCTACAGCTAGAATTGGAGCATTCTGTGTGGTGATTTTCTTCACACAGTTTTTTCTCAGTTTCTCTGGGAATTTATTCTACCTGGTTCATTGTTAGTGTACTTAAAGTAGTACCCTTAGGTTTAGTTACAGTAGTTCGGCTAGATAGTTGCCCTAGATGATGCCCTCACCAGGGTTTAAACTTTGTCTGTCTTGTGTGGTAGCTATCCCCAATAGTGACCCCCAACACTTGATGTTTGTTGGGCATATTAAAGGTGCTTTATATGCAGGTTGTTTAAGAAGAGGACACAGTTGATGATAAACTAGCAGCTGAAACAGCATCTCTTAGAGCAGGCACCGGGGACCTCAGATTATCCAGCTTTTCTTCAGAACCAACATGAAATGTGATACCTGGCTCAAGATTCAGGGCTTTCCCTTGGAAGAAGGATGGATTATTCTCCTCCTTCGGGTCCTCTGAGGAAGAGGTCCCATAAGACCAATCGGGACTATTCCAGGACTCAGAGGGACTCCTGTTAGTCACCTCAGAGGAGTGCTGACTGGCACTTTGAGGCCTCTGGTATGCATGATGGAGCTGGCTCGTCTAACTGCTCCCCGGTATCATGCTCAGATCACTTGGACTCTGTAATGTTGACTGCGGTTCCCACCATGTGGTGTCCATTGAGTCCTGTAACAATGATGGCAGCATTGGCACTGACTGTCTCCACACTGTTGGCATATCCGGCAGCGTCAGACCTGCTCTTCCTTTATGCTCCTGATTCTCCTGTAGTTCAGAGGCTATCAGTTGCAGCGCCTTCTACATTGTCCCCTTCTGCTGCACCACTGGCACAGTCTGTTTGAGTTGCAGAGCTGTCTTGCTCATCTGCACTGCACTGCATCCTGCACCATCTGGGGCTCAGACTGCAAGGTTGCAGTCAATGTCCTTTGCGGTACTGAGAGGTACAGACACTGTCTTTGACACCGATGATGTATGTATTACAGACCCCTAGATTCAATGCTGACCTCGGTTTCAGCACCCTCGTTTGCTCAAGTGCTTGGCTATAGGGCAATGTCTCTTCAGGAACCAATAGTATCAACTGCTTCTTGATCCTCAGCACCAGTGATGACTTTATATTGGGTTCCAGATGAGGCTGACCATTTTTTGCTTCCTCGGGGGTGGCTCCTCCATTCCCATGACTCCGAGGGCTCCTCAAGATCTTGTTTGGAGACTTCTTCCTCTTCCTTCTCACCATCAAAGCACCGTTCTCAATCCTTGGATCACCATTGGTACTGGCATCAGCACCATTCTAGCAGTAGAGATAGCAGTCCCTGGTCTACTACCTACTGGCCACCAATGCCCTACCACTATTCCCAGTGGCCTCACACATGATTGATTGATTTTTGGTGCAGAGATTGTCATTATACATGCAAGTGAGAAGAGGAAAGAAAGTGATGTGTGAGTAATTAAAATATTAATGATGAAAAAGGTATATAGTAGAATGAGTTGTGCTGTAATTACATATGATCATTTTATCTGTGGATTAACAAATTCTTTTATTTTCTGTGACAACATAAAGAATATTCCAGTGTAGGTATATTTTTCTAGGTCAAGTAAAATGTTTTGTTCCACAGATTTTAAAATTGGAAGTCAACATCCTTTCTTCCTAAATTGCTCCAGCCAAGCAATTCCCTTTAATTTCTGTTAGAGGTACTTTATATTGGAGCCACATAGTGCAATACGCACCTTGAGTCTTATCCTCCTGGTATCTCACTTGTCATCACTGTAGTATTGAAGTCCCAGTAACTTACATAAATCCTCTGGACATACACTTTCAAGAAATATATTTCTTGACCGTATCCCAAGAAAATGAAAGTGCAATGTACTGTTTTTTTTTCTTTGAGCTCAACATTTTGATTTAAAAAGGGTTTAAGAATTTCATAAGTGAATTTCCCCATTGCACAATAAGAGAAGGGCAGTGATCACAACTATTTTAGGTTAGGAATGCAACCAGGCTTCTTTTTTTAATGCCCACAGTTTTAAAATTAACACGATTTGCTAAAACGTTTAACTCATGAGCTGAAATTTCCAATTCTTGATCAATATTAAACAATTAATTAAAAAAAGATTAAAATCTATTTTGGACTTCTGAGAGGTGTAGTTATGAAACCTAATTTGAAATATGTAATCAGGATATTCTATAGAATGTATTTAGCTTAGAGTGTGATCTTAACTTTCGGAATTTCTTGCTTTTCTCTTTTCTTGCACTTTTTATCCAGGCCTGACCTAGCTTAGCTTACTAGCGCTGACAAGGTACCCTGTGTAACATTTCTGCAGACCTTAAAGACTGTGTAAAAGAAGCTCATGGATCCTTTTTTATCATATTAAAGAGAAGTTATTTTTTCTGCTGGGAAATAGAAAACGAATGTTTCAGTATAGGTGAATGGAATCATCTGTTCTCTGCCCAAGACAAAATAATACTACACAACACTATCCTAAGTGGAAATATAACCAAAAACGATTTTAGTTTCTTCCACACTACTGAATGAAATACATGTGAAACAAGAATTTTCAGATCAATCAAAACAGCTTAGTTTATTGATCTTCTGGTCCTTTTTTTCAGGTTCAGCAAATAGACCGTGTAGTAGAAGTTGTGGAGGAAACTATTAAAGGTAAGCCTTACAATTGAAATAACTGCCATTCTGCTGAATGCTGTGAGCTTTATTTAATAGACACACTGTGACATGTTCCACACCATTCTGTTTTTGTTTTGATCAGATAAGTAAATGAAGGATTTTCTGTTCATGTAATGATGCACTATGCAATGTATGCATCACAAAAGTAATGGTTGCAAAGATAAAATATGATGACGTCTGTGGGTTACTAGATTTTAAAGGTGGAAGATTCTTTGGACACATTTTAAAAATCCTTTTTACCTATCTAAATAGGATAGATGGATTGTGTTTGTTGTTTATGATCCCTTGCTCTGTGTAGATCATCTTACTTAGTGCTATAAACTCATTATCATATCTTTTGAACTCTCACAGTTTGTTTATTTAGATGTTTCATCTCATTTCTACAAGCTTTCTTGAACAGGTCAGCTAAACAATCTATTGGTTTAGTGGTTCTTGTGTAACTATGTTGGTTGTTCACTCTTGCTGTGTTCATGTATATACACGAAATATTTCGCAGTGAAGTATTGTAAAGAGTGCATTGTTTCTTCAGTCTGACTAGTGAACATTCATTATTTAATAAATCAATTTGTCTGGTTCTTTCTGGGCTACATGACATTGTCTCCATTACCAATCAGGTTGTAAAATTACTGTTGCGTGAAGCATTCAAACTACATGGCTCAGCCTAAGTGGCTGTGCTTTTAATGTAAACAAGCGGCTGGTCCATGAGATGTTGTCTCTAACTTTTGTTCTTGAGTACGATAAGTTTTTGGAGCAGAGCATGAAAATGCATAAACCAAACTAAGTAAAGAAGCTGCTTCTATTAAGAGATTATGTAGTGTAGTTTAAAGGTTCTACAAAGTATAATTTGAGTGGCTGAATAAGATAACACTTGTACTGCTTTCGTCTTGTTTTTAAAATGAAAACTGCCCCTTTAGGTACTGCCAACCAAAACACAGTACAGTTTGCTATTACTTTAATTGACATTTGTCATAACATAACACTGCAAAGCAGATTCCCTTTAAAAAAAAAAAAAAGATTCTGCCTGCCTCATTCACCTTGACCTGTACTTTAGTCTGTGAGTAGTGCCACTGAAGTCAGTAAAATGACTTGGACAGTAAAATACTACTCAAACTTTCAGTGCACCTACCCATGGGATAATGTACTACCCACTGGGAGTAGGGGTGGCAGAATTGGGCCCTGTATGGTGGGGCAGAGCAACAGAATAAGCTTTTTATGGAGTTTTTTTTTTTGTTCCTGCTTTTTTCTCATAACATTAGAAACATTATAGTTCTCTGTGGTGATCTTTTGGTACTTGCTGGCATTAAATGAGTAAGTCATTGCCTCAGGAGCATCATGCTGCTCTTGGTAACCTGTTAGGAAGTTTAGCTGCTGTGTCATCCAGAATTAGTGTCTTGCATCTTAATGAGATGATCCATCTGCTGGTGTAGATAAGACCCTTAAAATTCTGATAGGAAGCACCATAATTTTTATAAAGTACACATAGCTTCAAATCTCTGATTTTCTGTGTGTGTTTTTATTTTTAGTTTTGTTTTTTAGGGAGTCAGAATAAGATTATCACTTAAGTCTGGCTTGAAAGCAAGCTAGGAAATTTGCGGCAATGGCAAAAATGATTTGATTCTAATTTATTTAAAAATTGTAATTCAGTGTTGATATTGCATTTGTGAAGTGTTGCTGTTCATTGAAATACCACTTTTGAAGCTTCTTGTAAAAATGTCTGTATATAAAATTAAACTTTAAAAAGTGAGAATTATGGAAACAGAGTTTAGAGAGACTGGGCATAACCTTGGGACTCAGTTCCCTTGCTGCTTATCCTAATTACAAATTGGATAGAAAGGATTAATTGGGCTGTTGAATTCAATAGATGATGCCAGTCCCTTCTGGGGGTTTTTTTCAGAAGGGAGTGGGGCTCAGAGTTTATCAAAGATTTACTGGAGAATACAAACTGTAAAAGTAAAATGCTTAACATAAATCTAACAGAAACTAAGGGACATTAAAAGGGACATTGGCAAGTACATTTAGATGCCAAATATAGATGATGTAAAAAGCTGTTTTTTGCAACAGTCTAACACCAATAGAAGTGTTTCCATGTAATTAGAAAGGATGTCAAAGGGAAATTATTTTAAAGGAATAATATTCCTCTGCATATTTGAAACCCAAATATTGGAGCATTCTGCCAAAATATGAGAATGAATGTGTGAATCTGGTTAGATACTTATATAAAGAGAGTGAAATTGACTAGGGCATTTTCATTTCCAAGCTAAGTGAAATACAGCAAATAAAAGCATAATTGGTGAAGAGTAACTTAGACTTTTTTAATATGTAAAAATTAAAATACCTAAAGTTATAAATAATACAAGCAAATTCAAATGTAACTCAAATGTCTTTGTAAGGCTGTTGTGCCATCTGTTACAACTTTTGGTGCCTCAGCCTTAGAGAAAAGTATAGGGGTGGAACAAAAATGCAACAAAACTGAGGTCCGATTTCTGAGTAAATTAATGTCACAGCCTTGGTTATTGTGATGTAATTTAGTTGGGCTATTTAAAAAGGAAAATGAAAAGATTTCATGGATGTTGTACCCTCTTGTTGAAAATTCATGGAGGAGTGGCTAAACGTTTCATAAAAAAAATCGATGTATATTTACCTGACTGAACAGATTTGATTTGATTGATTGCAAACCTCTCTAGGTTCATTCACAATCCAGAGAACTCGTTGCTAGGTAGGTCCCATCCCATCATCCATAAAAGCTATAAATGTTGATGGCTTGAGAGGTATTGGAGACAGCTATATAGCTATAGCTGCAGCAACCCCATTTGAGCTGCTTCTACCTTCAGAAGTGAATGAGGGATGCTCCTGCTTCTATCTGAAGAATTTTTTTCTTCACAAACTTGAATAATGTTTACTCTGGATATCAAAATTGAATAAACTTACAGAACACAGCAGCAGGGCTCTATAAGACAGCATGTCAGATATAGACATCAGCATTCTTATGCAGTCTGAAAATATTTTTCATACAGTTCACAGAGAGATTGTCCCAGCACCAGTTTCCAGAGTAGTACTCTTCATAGACTGAGTCCATGCTTGCTCAGGTTCCACTCTGAAGGGGTTATTTCTGAGATTTTTCTTTGACTTCTTGAGTTGAAATAGTACAAAATACATGGATCCTGAAGGTGATATGAAAAAATAAACCTGATAAAATGTCAGCAGTCTCCCCTGACCACCAGCACAATCATTTCCTCTTCAATTAAAACTTAAAAAAAAAAAAAAAAAAAGCTCTCTTAGTGAGTTCAAAACCTACATGAATTAAGAATAATCACTGTACCCCAGAAGAGGATAATTTCTGTGGAAATTAGTCCAAATTCTTTCTACTAGACTGGAGGCTTTTATTTTCAGTCTTGTCTCTCATTTTCAGTCTTGTCTCTCACTGTTTAAATCATAGTCGGGAAGTCCAGGTTTAGGCCTTGTCTACACTACAGAGTTTTGTCAATGCAAGTTTTGCTAACATACAGCCACCGCTTTATTTAAACCATTGTTGCATGTCCACGCTATACTCCTTGTGTTGGCAGAACACAGCCACGTTAGCAACTCTTGCATTGACACAGAAAGCAGTGCACTGTGGGGTAACTATCCCACTGTGCAATTGGCTACACGGTGCTTTGGGAAGGGTTTGCAATGCCTCATGGAGCAGGTACAGCATCACATGATGCAGGTTTCTCAATCCCATTATTCCATGGGCATTCTACTAGATTGCCAGCTGCTTTTCAACTGAAGTTTGCGGGGGAAAGGGGGAGTGTGTGTGTGTGTGTGTGTGTGTGTGGTTGGGGAGAGTGAGTGTGTTAGCATGCTGTCTCTTTAAGTTCAGACAGCAGCCGGAAGCAACCAATCCTGAGGCAGGGGAAGGGGGACACCCCCAACATCAGCCCCCATCTTCCTCCCTGGCTCTCATGTGCTCCCTCCCCCAGCAGCAGCCCGCTTGCCTGACAGCCGGTGCATTGCTAGTGCCGGGGAGAGCAGGATTCCAAGTTAATGTTTTGATTCTGTGATTCCCTGCAAGTTCTCCAGAGCCTCCTCTCTCCACAGACCAATGATCCAACCCTCCCCTGTCGTCCAGGCAGGAGCTATGTGAGTTCTCCACACTGAGCAGTTTCAGAACTTCCTGGCACTTAAAGGGGAGGTGTGCATGCCCGTGTAGCAGGATGCTGGACAGAAGAGTTCAAAAAAGTGAGCAGAGCAGTCATGGTGGGCATTGTGGTATACCTCCTGGAGGCCAGTTATGGTGACATAATGAATGGAGTGTCTACACTGACGCTTTGTCACTCTAACTTTGCCGCAAAAAGTTCTATGCCTCTCGTCAAGCGGTGTTGGGTTTTTTTTTTTGTCAGCAAAACAGGAGAGTTTTGCCACCAAAAGTAGCATTGTAGTGTGTACATCTCCACTGGTTTGTTGACAAAAACTGCCTTTTGCTGACAAAACTGTGTAGTGAAGACAAGGCCTCAGAGGGAAGACTTATCCTACTGATTTGAGAAATAGACCCCCAAGGATGGTCTTTGCTTCATATTTGCATGTTCCTAACGGCCACTTCAGCTTTCTGTATTTTAGAAATAGACTCCAAACATTTATATGATGTAGCTTTACTTTTTGGCTTACCTTCGGTCCTCTCAAGTCTCCAAGATACCAGACAAGAAGATTCACATTTGTCGTCATATCAACAGCCTATTGAGGAAGCTATGTTGACAGAGTTGCGTTCAAGAGACAGAGTTGCCTTCAACTCTTACAGCACCTCGGCTTTTATCGCAACTCTTAAAAGTGCCTTAATTCCTTCTATAATCTCTTTCAACTGACTGTGAAATTTCTTACCTCTCATAGTATTATTCTGTTGTGTCTGGTAAATTCTGGAAACTATACCATGTAAAGGACCATTTCCAAAGCATTTCATTAGTACCATATGACTATATCTGCAGCTTCTTGGAATCCGCTTA